TAATTGGAAGGATCCAGTATGATCACGTCCAGGTTTAGGATGGGCACAATTATAGCATCGCGCCAACGACGAAGGAAATTGTCCAGATGTCCAAATGTCATCAAAAATAGATAAGAGCGTCTCTAAACATGGTTCAGGCAAGTTTCCAGGAGTTGATAATGTATACCATCAGCTCCTGGAAAGCAGTATCGTGAGCTTGGTCAAGAGCAGTATGAAGCTCATGTATCGAAAAGGTTTCATTGTAGTCTTCCCTATTGTCTGAATTGAAATTAATAGATTTCTTTTCCTGCTGTCTTTGATATTTCTGGAATTCAGGTACATAGTTAGATGAGGAAGAATGTTTGGCCAAAGTTTCTCCAAGTTTATTTGCTATGTCAGATTTATCAGTTAATAATTCATCTCCACTGTTTAGATGCTTAATGCTAGATTTAGATCCCTTACCTTTATTTTTCTGAATCATGTTCCACACCTTTGATATTGGCGTGCGCGAATTGATGTTTGAGACATAGTTTCGCCAAGATTGGCGTTTATTTTGTTTTAAAAGTACGCCGTGCTTTGGCGTTTAAAATTCTAAATTTGTTTAAATTGTGGACCATAGGATGGCGACGGAAATAATGTTCAGCTTTCTTTCGTGCCTTGCGAGCTTGTTTGCATTCAGCGTTAAACCATGGTTTACGTACATGAGGAACTGCAGAGGATTTGGGGATACACTTCTCAGCTATGTGTCTGAGCTCATCTGAAAAACAGTTGATGGCATCAGGAAGATCATGAAAAAAGTTCTGGTTTGAGTATGTCAGCACAGAAAGTTTCATATAAAGGCCAGTTAGCCTTCTTAAAGTTCCATCTTGATGATGGAGGAACATCAGATGGATTCACGGGTTTGAGAATTGTTGGGAAATGGTCACTTCCACACAGGTCGTCGTGGACTGACCACTGAATTCACTCAATAAGTCTGAGGTAGTAATCGATAAATCAAGAGCTGAATAAGTTCCTGTGCCAGGATGTAAATATGTGCTAGAACCGTCAATATATATGCATAAATCATTGTCTGAACAAAAGTCTTCTAAGAGTTTACCTTTAGCATTAGTTGTTGTACCACCCCAGAGCGGGTTGTGGCCATTTAAATCTCCCATAATGATACACGGTTTTGGGAGTTGGTCATATAAATTTTGAAGATCAGTCTTCTGAATGACTGAAGATGGTGAGATATACAAAGAACATAATGTGAATGCAACGTGTAAAGTGAGTCGCACTGCAACTGCTTGAAGATGAGAAGTAAGTGTAATAGGGCTATGGATAACATTCTGTTTGACTAGGATTGAAGAACCTCCAGTGGCCCTGTCACCCGGAGGTGAGAAAGAATGATAAGCATTGAAATAACGTAGGTCAAAAAGGATCTGTCTGCTTTAAATAAGTCTCCTGCAAACAGAATGCTGACGGCATACAATCCTGGACTAATAACAGTAATTCATTATAATTATGCCTTAGTCCTTTTCAATTCCACTGTACGATGGTGTTGGAATTAACCATCTTTTCGGCGGATTTATTGGGGATCTACCCCGCACTGTTTTGGAGGGCGACAAGCTGTGTGCCCTATATTGACGTTTTCGACACGTCCATGTCCTCAAGTGATCCATATTTGTTGTAAAGTTTGATTTTATTTTCAGACCCTTTTGGGGCTCTGCCACTTTGTTTTTTTGAATAATCAGGCTTAGGTTTAGTCATGCCTTTAGCAATTTGATGGACATTAGATAGCGATTGAGACTTTGTGGTTGACTGAGAGGATGCGTTAGGATCAGGAACTTGTTTTGATTGAGTTTGAGACATGCCAGAAAGTGGCTCCGCTGTTTGAGTCGATATTGCACTTGAAAAAATCTGAGGAGAATCGGTTTTTACCCAAGTCAAATTTGTTTGGCAGCTGGAAGATGATTTAGGTACTTTAGGAGTTGCCTCAGGTTTTCTGGTTTTTGAAGCATATGTCTCTTGTTGGTCGCATCTTTGTACAAGTTGTTTAGCTTCGGCAAAACTAATATTCTGAGTAAATTTGATTCTGTTTATTTCCATCTGATGTCTCCAAATCGGACACTCTTTAGAGAAAGAGGGATGGTCCCCTGAACAATTGGTACACTTTTTGTAAGTACTGTCACAATCTTTCTGTTGTGTGTGTTTTTCACCACAGTGAGCACACACAACAGACAATGTGCAGGTATTGACGCCATGACCATACTTCTGGCACTTGAAGCATCTCAGTGGATTTGGTATGTATGTATCCACTTTGATGTGACAGTAACCAGCCTTTATTGACTTTGGAGCAGTCGGAGTGGAGAAAGAGAACAGATACGTGTTGGTTGGATGGGTTTCATTATTTTTCCGGGTTGTGAAGCGTTTAACATACATAACACCTTGTTCTTTCATCTCGGAGACAATATCTATTTCCAGCATGTCAGTAAAAAGTCTATCCCGGTCTCTTACTATGCCCTTGCTGGTGTTAAGCGTTCGGTGGGCAGAGACTGATACAGGAATGCCGACAAATGAGTCAGTTGACAGGAGGTTGGTAGCCTGTGGTTTTCTACTGCATTCAACTAGAAGTGCACCTGTCCGCAAACGTTTAATGTTTTTAACATCTCCTGCAATGCCTTGTATGCCTTTTGATACAGCAAAAGGGTTCAGCTTTAAAGGTGTTTTGTCAACGGTCTCAATCACAATGAAACGTGGCCAGTAGTCAATGGATGTGGGCAGTCTTTGGTCGTTAACATCAGGATCAGTGTCAAGTGGACGTTTCTTTTTTGGTAATGGGGTTTCGTAAGCCATAGTTATTGTTGAATGGTTCATCATCCGAGCTCCCCACCCTCCACGGAGTATCACAAGGACAATGCTAAAAACAGGCGGGCTTCCAGCCTGCAGCACCAAGGATACCCGGACGATATACGCAAGCAGAATAATACAAAGGTAAATATTCCACCTGATTGGCCCATGAGCCACCGCCTTCTGGGCATACGACTCTAGGCAAAAACACATATGAAATTGTGTAGTTGAAATTCAAAAGCTCTAAAAAATTCGCCAAGACTTAAAAATAGAAGTTACAATATTCAAAATTTTGTGCAACATTACATAATGTGTGCTCAGGGCTTGGCGTGACCAGCCGATTGGTTGAACCGGGCCCATTCAACCACCCGTCTAGGTGAAGTAAGGGCCGAAGTGGTGTGTTGGGCAAAGGAACACTGTTCCTGGAACCAGTGCCCTCAACCACCAGAATCCCGTCCTCCACCGACACAGGGGCGCAACCCACGGCAAACAGGTTGGTGGACCAAATATGCCCCCGGGTCCACAACGGGGGGTTGAAGGGCTCTTAGCGTGACCCAGCACCCACCACGAGGAGGTGGCCCTTCACGGGTGCCTACAAACGAAGGAGTTTAGAAAACTTAAGGCTGGATATGATTGATAGAGGAACTGTGGCTGTCTGTAAGGAGACAATTAGAACTGAGCTGCATGCAATGGGTTGGCAGAAAAGTCGAAGAATCCCTTCACCGATCATGAAACCTGAACAAAAGGAGCGAAGGTTGAACTGGTGCTTACAGCATAAAAATTTTAACTGGGACAATGTGATTTTCTCAGATGAAAGTTCTGTGTGGCTGTTTCCTAATACACTGAATTCTGGACCAAACAAACTGAAAAACCTTCGTATCAGCGCCCAAAGTCAAGTCCGAAATTGAACGTGTGTGGTGGCATATCTGTGTTAGGGGCAACGTCCCTCTGTGTATTTGAAGGGAATATGAACAGTGAGCGGTACACAGATATTCTCGAGGGACATTTACTTCCATCTGCTCACGTGTTGTATGGATATTTGTGGATTTTCCAGCAGGACAACGACCCAAAACATCGTTCAAAGCATTCACAGGCCTGGTTTCGGACCCAAAATATGACATTATTAGATTGGCCAAGCTATAGCCCTGACCTAAATCTAATAGAAAATGTTTGGGGACTTATGAAGGAAAGTGTCAATAAGAAACATCTGACACATATTTCTGAAATGAAAGAAGAGGTGGTCCGATATTGGGACAGCATGGACCACGACTTTCTAACTTCTTTGATCAGTAGTATGCCCCGCCGCATTGAAGCCTGAATTGCTGCTCATGGTGACTTGACAAAATACTAACTGTTCACCTGTGTTTGACTCTGGGGTTATGTTCTGTCAATATTCACATTTAATACGTGAGTAATGAGTGAAAAAAAGAATAAAATTACAATCTTTAACTCTCAATAATTTCTGATTGTACTCCGTACATGAGATGTTTGTATAATAGATGAGGCGAAAAATAAGTTGTTTATACAATAGAAGAAGTTGATAACACAGGATTGAGTAGGTTTATGTGAAGCCAGTAAAGAACATGTACATAGTTTTAAGGGATTAAGGATGTTGATGGGCAGCCAGTAGGAATGATATACATAGGTTGTTTACATAAGTGATAAAGGGACTGTTAGGAAGCCAGTGATGAAGTGATGTTTACACAATGGATAATGTGCAGTGTTACTCAATGGGTAATGTACAATGGTTGAGTAGGGTTACATGAAATTAATTGAGCAAGTGATGTTAGGCCATGGGGATGAAATACCCTTCATCTCTGTTGATGACTGGACAAATCTTCTTTATGTGGACAGCTTCAAGTAGTTTTCGGGTTTTGAAATCAGGCTAGTTGCTTTCGATGACTTTGGTGGTATTCCAACTGATGTTGTGGTTCGGGTTAGCTTTAAGGTGGTCGGCTAGGGCGGATTTAGATTCTTTCTTTCTTACTGAGGCCTCGTGTTCTTTGATCCTAATGGTGACTGGTCTTGATATTTCACAAATATCAAGTACGCGTCGTCATTCTCAGGGGTTTTACATTGTATTTTGCCTGCTTCCTGTTTAATGTGACTGAGGTCCTATGCGGTAAGGTTGTATCAGCATTAGTTCAACTGTGCCATAGATATAATGTTCTAGTATGAAGCACCAATGTCATATAGTTCCAGGGGAATGTCTGTACAAGGGTCAGAGCTACGGGCAAGGCAAGACTTGGCGCGACGGCTGTAACTACCAATGTACCTGCGTAGATGCCACCGTGGGCACGTACATCTGTAAAGACCTGTAAGTCTCACCTTTCTCTAACCACGTGTTACAAAAAGCCATTTTGTGTACCACTTTAACTTCTATATGCTATATACCCGTGCGTACGTGTCAGTGTCTATGTAAAAGTCATGTTTAAAAGTAAATGTCATATAACCATCGTATTACTGTTATCATTGTTGTTGTAATTCGTGTTCCTGATGCCTCTGCTAGTGTTATTATTATCATACTGGTTCATATCCTTTTAGCAGTATTCGTATAAATATGAATTCTAATTAAAGTTATAGCATTATTTTACATATTATTATCAGTGTAAGCTGCTGGCCCCTCCCACCGGCAAGTGCTGCCCCACACCAAGCTGCCCTAGCGGCATAGTCATCAACTACCCGCCAAGCTATGTTGGCGTTTAACAGGCAAAAACCTGTGTAGCCAGGCAACAAAACAATTCAGTGAAGTAAAATACAAACACGTTTGCGAAAATTGTAAGCATTCGAATTAGGAAAATAAAATATTTCTAGTTTAGTCTTGTCTTTTGTGTTGTCGCATATCTTTACATTTTTGAGGGACAGTTGGATCGCCCAGTTGTTTCATCAGAGGCGTCTATATCAATCAGGAAGGTAAACAATGGCCAACATTGGCAGCATCAGCATCAATATACATGCACCAGGTAATGTTACAAAGTACTGTTACAACTACACGGGTGATGCTTATGTAATAAAGGCACTAAGTCCTGTTATCTGATATAGCTGGAATATTGCTGAGTGCGGCGTTAATCAATATCCAAACCAAACCAAACCTGTTATGTGAAGAACAGGATTTTTTGTTCATTTTTCATGACGTCAGCAGAACCGGTTCGTGTCGACATATTCCGACAAGGTTACTTGTTAACGCGTTCCTTCAAATTTTGAGTTTATGGTTTTCGAAATTATGATTGATTAAAGTGTGAGAACCGAAAAGCATCTGGTGAGGTGGTCAGAATGGCCAAGCTTTGACCCCATCTTGATTCAACAACAACATCATCAACACGTGGCGTGTTTGGCTCACGATACCCAAATGGCGGTTTGTGGGTGTTAACAACACGTGTGATAGATTTCAGCCCATTATTCTTGACCTTGGTTACGAAACAAGATTCGTATGACTCAAGTTACGTGAGAGAGTGGATTAAGATTTCTAGTTTCATCGGCAGTATTTCAGCCATCTACTGACCAAAACAAGTTATACAGTCATGACACATAAACCGACAATATAAAAACCTGTTGACGAACTACATTAAACACAAACAGAAAATCACAGATACAGATGTAAAACTAGCATGTAAATTTAAAACTATAGACAATACAACATGTAACAGGCTACAGGTCGTCAACAACTAAAGGAAGATCACCATACTAAGGACCACACTTACTGTGTGTTTGCATCAGTTCAGCCGTTGGCGATTGTGCTGCACCAAGCTAGAGCATCCCCCAAAAGAATGTTGGAGAACATTATCCAGGTCAGGAACCAGGGAAGTTTACCATTCTTGGTACCCAAGCTGGACCACGCCAATGCACCAACAGGTTAAAAAATCTCATTCCACAAACAAGGAAGGAAGTGATGATGGCCATTGGAATCGATCAACCTACGTTTGTGACTGTGTTTGAGTTGTTTCAAGGGAAGTGTACCAGGGATTTCGAGATGTATTGTATCGGCAAATACGTCTTTGACTGGCATTCTAGAAATTGCGGAGAGGAAGAATGAGGACAATGTTTTATGAAAATACAACTTTTTTATTTCTGTATAGGCAACGTTTCGACATAGATCCTAGTGTCGTTGTCAAGCAAGTGGTACATAAGAGGTAATTTGGGTGATATATATACATGAGATGTTTATACAATCGATGAGGGATGAGACGAAAATGAGTAGTTTATACAATAGAAGAGATTGATAACACAGATGGTATACAGGGTTAAGTAGGTTGATTGGAAGTTAGCTTAGAAGATGTACAAGATAACGCTGTTGATTGGAAACCAGCAGGGAGTGATGAACGTAGGTTGTTTACATAGGGAATTTATAAGGAAGTTGTTGGGAAGCCAGTAGTTAAGTGATATGACACATGAGATAATGAAATGTACAGTCGCTGAGTAAAGTTACAGGAAAATAATTCAGCAAGAGATGATAGGCCTTGGGGGATGAAATATTCTCTGTTAATAGCAGGAGGACAGCTTCAGTAGTTTTCGGGTTTTCAAGTCAGTTTGAGATGTTACGAGGGCCGATCAAAATGTAGAATCACCAAGAAAACGACACAAATGCAGTTATTTTTATGGGGTTTTTTTTCTACATATTATCTGCCAAGCTCAAGCAATTTGGTTTTGCTATGTTCCAGTCTCACGATCCCAATTTTGTTTGACCTTTTCTCTTGGTACCCTAAAATAACGCAAAATCTACAATAAATGCATAAAAAACTTCAGGAAACAAAATATGCAAGAATTATTGTGTGTGTTTGAGATTGATAGAAGTCCCCTAGAATCACACTTAGATATTAAAGTTCATAAAAAAGCAATTTGAAATTACAATCGCTTGTTAAAATGACCCCCTTCATGTTGACTGAAAGAGCTTGTTTTGGAGACACTACCCGCCCCCCTTTCAGATGACGTAATCATAAGGGCATAGCTTATTCTAATGTTTTCACTTATGCATACATGATGCCAAGGGTTCAAATTAAATACTGAATGGTCACACAAGTGTCAGGCCAAATATATTGTAAACAGTGCCAGCTTGAATATCTGGACACAATGTTTTTGACACAATGTTTTGTTGGGGGTGTAATTAAAAAAAAATAGCCCCCGACTAAACATAAATCAGGCAATCCAAATCTTTGACTGTTGATCATGACGGGAAGTCATCCAATACTATACTGAACATATTTTATATGACATTATCTGAGGGCATACCATTATCCAAGAGGTACCAAAAGACAAATCGTTTTTCATTTTTTGCAAGTTTGCTAGAAATATTATACCCCAATGTGTTGTGATGACAAATATCTGGTTAACCACATTACCACGATTCCTTCAAAACAAAATGGAAGCTTTTCAAACATTGGGCATCGAGAATATAGTTAGGCTACGTACTTTTTGATCGACCCAAGAAATGACTAAATACTTGCTTTTCTTAGGACGTGTGTGTGTGTGTGTGTGTGTGTGTGTTGTCAAACCGTTTGCTCGTCACGCGGAAGACCAGGGTTCGAGTCCTCACATGGGTGCAACGCGTGAAGCCCATTTCTGGTGTCCCCCGCCTTGATATTGCTGTAATATTGCTAAAAATGACAACCGAAAAATGTCTGAAAATAACTGAGAACTGAGACCTGCTAAAAATGACTAAAGACCATCCTAATGTCAGGGTAACACAGTGTGGACTCATTGTAAATCCACAGTATCCCTATTTGGATGCTAGTCTTGATGGCGTGGTGTCTTGTGTTGACTGTGAGAATTCTGTTCAACACATGGACTACTTAAGATCAAATGTTCCTCTGCGCTCGGGGATCTTACACCACCAGAGGCTGCTTCACATACGGATTTATTTTGCAAATTGGATGAAAATATGAACTTGAAACTTAGATAATATCACCCCTATTACTTTCAAGTTCAAAGGTCAAATGAATTTGCACAGAGAATGGTGTGACTTTGGAGTTTAGACACTGAAGGGTATTTCAATTCAGAGAATTGCGTTTGATAAATTGAAATGGGAGGAAATGTTTCAAAAGCAAAAACGTTTTTATGTGATAGCAATTGTGCCAGAACTCTTCTCCAGACGAGTGCATTGTCACTCATTTAGCTACCCATCTGCCATTCCTGACTCGGTGGAGTCCACCATCTTATCTGAGGCGAGTCGGGAAATGCGTGCGCCTACGCCCTCCCTCTCCCTACCCTTCTCTAGGGACCTGGATGAGGTGTAGACGGAACTGAACGACCAGATCCGAGGATCGGGAAATTCAGACCTGCCGGGGGACGGTAGGTCTATGAATATGGGTAAAGAGCCAAAATCCGAGGGGATTTACGGGCCACGCACCTATTCTTCCTTCGCTCCAGAGTCGTTGGAGTCGTTCTCCATGGCAGCTCCTCCCGTGCCCCTGCGGCTAACCCAGCTTAATTGCTGATAGCTTCAGAAAACATGAGGAGCTCGGAGAAGATGTGCTGTCACTCCTTTGGGGTGATCTCTCATCTCTTCTGGCTCCTCGGCGGGACTTTTCTGGCACTACCTCAGGACTCGGGGGCGGGCTCACCTCCTTTGCAAGCGTGGACGACATCGGATGACCGCGTTGTCTTATCTGTCACGCTCATGATAGGTGTCCCGCTAACTAGGTGGGACTCGTCCTTGGGTGATGTTCCTACGAGGAGCAGACAAAAGCACAGTTTAGGTGTGCCCCAACTCTTCGGTCCGGGTCCCCTCACATTGTAAGTGCAGCCTCAGTCGAGGATATGCCACGAGAACCCGGCAGTGTTAGACCTACGAGCATGGAAACTGTCAAGCAGTTGTGGAACGCGTTGCTAAATCCAACTAAGAGACTATATCAGTCACACTGGCAGTGCTGGGTGGATTGGACGAAGTCACAACAGGTGGATACCTTACGCCCAATGGTTTAAAGACTTAGCCGAGGTCCTAAATCACCTACAGGTGAATCTGCACCTTAAAGCTCGCACTATCAAGTGTTACTGCTCCACGATTTATACCACAATAAGCCAAAGCCGGGCTCCGAATTCTCTTAAGATTCAGTTCTGAGAGATGTAATGACGTCAATGTCTGCATCCGCTGTGTCGAGACATTTTGATGCATGAAATCCTGAAACTGTTCAGACACAAAATTTGTTCCATTGTCTGTCACGAGAGCTTTCAAACCATGCCTGGCAAATATTCCACGTAATCTAGAGACAGTGTGGCTTCGGCTGTTGAGGTATTCATTAAAGAACACTCACTCCATTTTGACATCTGCTATTATATTCAAATGACATCGAAAATAATCCAGCTACCCATTCTTGTCGTAAGGGGCGAATAACGGGATCGGATGGTCAGACTCGCTGATTTAGATGACACGTACGTCATTGTACCCAAGGCCCCGGGATCATGAAAAAATCTTAAGTCTAAAATTTGATTAGCACAAAAACATCTTAAGTCTAAAACAATTTGCTTAGCTAAGATGTTAGTTAAGACTGGATCATGAAACTCTCAGCAAAATCTTAGCTAAGACTGTGTAGATCAATGCTCATGCTCACTGGCTAGTCTGGTCCAGACTATGTTATTTACAGACTGCTGATATTGACGAGTCCGACGTTAAACATCAAGCAAACACATTTGAGAGTGAGTGAGTTAAAATTTAAAGTTACTTTGGCAATATTTCAGCCATATCGTGACTAAAACAACACATATATTAACAATATTTAAAGATAGAGTATAAAATCCTGTCAACGAAGGACAGTAAAGCAACTAGAATATCACAGATATAATGTAAAACTAGTAATTAAATCTAAAACATTTTAACTATAGA